GGTTCCTGGCCATCGCTATTGGGTTGGAGGCCATTGCTATTAGGTTGGAGGCCATTGCTATTGGGTTGGAGGCCATCGCTATTAGGGTGGAGGCCATTGCTATTGGGTTGGAGGCCATTGCTATTCGGTTGGAGGCCATTGCTATTGGGTTGGAGGCCATTGCTATTAGGTTGGAGGCCATTGCTATTCGGTTGGAGGCCATTGCTATTTAGTTGGAGGCCATTGCTATTTGGTTGGAGGCCATCGCTATTAGGTTGGAGGCCATTGCTATTAGGTTGGGGGCCATATCGTCATTGGGAGAGAGCTCTTCAGTCAAAATCACAAGGAGTCGAGCCCTCCATCTCTTCCCAAAACCTTCACACCCGCTCTCAGTGCACCAGTTAGATGACCCCGCAGAAGAAGATCTTATCGCAGTGTACTTTCACATTGCCTGCGCCGCACTCCTGAAATCATCATGATGGCAACGTGGAGTTCACTGTTTGGTATTCGGATCGTCCTTCGAAATCGTTCCCATGCCAAGTCCCTGGAGTGGAAACAGCACCACCTGACTAGGATGGTTTACAGAACCCCCCTGACCACCGGATGACCTTCCATCCAAATACCACCCGAGCGGCTCGCCCTTCGCCCCCAGTCCTTTGCGGACGGTCCGGTAGGACGCCTCAGGGCGGCACGGTGCTTCGGCCCGAAGACCATCCATGTGTGAAAAGACGGTACCGATCAGTTGGGGTGGTTGACCTGGGGTCCATGTCCCATACACGACTAATGGGACTGGAATATATGCCGCCCCATTGACCCCTCTGGCACCACCCCAATGTAGACATATATGGCAGTCCCATGGAGCGTCTGGGTGTGATTCCTGACATTTGCGAGGAATCCAAGAACTTTGGTCCACCGATGTGGGCCGAAGACCAGGACTCACTGATGTTCATTTCGGTGGCAATCCGCTACACGGGTGCCTTTTTGGATGCACCCGATCGGTCTGGAGCCCTGATCCGATCGCATCCAGCACGGCCGGTGAAGACTCCGCCAACTGACCCGCCTCCAAGTACTTGTTCCCAATGGAGATGTTGACGTCCTGCAGCGGGTACTTCGTGCCCGGCACAATGCGTGGTTGACCGGCACGACCCGTGTGCTGCCCACCAAAACGGATCAACAGTTCGGGAGCTGGTGGAAACTGCTGGCAAAGCATCCTTTAAGTGCTCTCGTGCACAAAGCTGGCTAAGTCGCGCCCAAGCCTGACAAAATGCAGCACCATTAGTTTTGTAACAACGTTTGAAGTTTGCTTTGTTTTTAAATCAACGTATATATGAACGTTTGTAAGAACGTTTGCATTGTTTTTTAATCAACTATATATAATATACGCATAATATACGCTTATTGACTTCTTGGCTGCATGACAGGGATAATGAGGTGGTTGGCGACATGTGCCTGCACTCTTGATCTTTTTGTTCTTTGTCTGGCTTCGATTCTTTTCCAGAAGATTGCAATTAAACTTTAAACAGATCGAACGCATCAATCGAACGCCGACCTTCGAGGAGGCGACATGTCGTCCGACAGCTTGCAGCACTCGACATCGGTGCAAAGGGTGCGAATCATCTCACACGACCCGGCCTGCTGCACGGAAGCTTCCGTATCCTGCACCAAGAAAACAGGTCTGAACTATTCTGGACCGCTTGATCCTTTGCAGGTCAGGACTGCAAACATGTCTGGCTGTCTGGGTCCTTTTCCACCAATTCTCTGTAATGCCATACCAATGATGATTGCTTCTCCTGGATGCACGCACAAGTTCGAGAATCAAGTTCGATCTAGTTCGTTGTGACTGTGCAAGTTTTGCCCCAGCAATCCATGAACGGCAGCTTGACCCCATTCAAGCTAACCTACATGTTGCGGCTGCCCTTTGAGGGCCGACCTGCATCGGGTCAATCATGGGTCAATCTGTCACAGTTCCACGAGTCGAAGATGACCAGATCACGACCTGCCCGACCTCGATACTACTTCCAGGGTTGTCCGCAACGATGCTAGACATTGCCTCGCCTCAAGGGACCGTCAGGCGCGTGTAGCACACTTGATGAATGCGCCACACTTCTGGAATGTGACTGTAACAAGAAAGGGTCGCGGATGGTCGGATGGTGTGGTACTGGGGGCCAGACGCAACGTGGCCTTCCAGTTTCGGTGAACTGCGAAATTCTTTGCATCCTTGGTGATGTGTGAAGAGGCTACTCTTCTTGCCACGCGGGCTCCTCATATCATCGCAGCTAAGGAGTCTGCCCCACCAAAGTGTTCCCAAAGTTCCCACTTGCGCTGGCAGTTTCCATCTGACAGCGAGAATACGAGCAACACGATGACTTGCAAGTACAACGAGCTTCTATGTCTTCCAGTCATGAATCATGAAGAATAAAGAAATACATGCTCCTACAAAAAATAATCAAACATAATAGATAAACAATATATATGGTTGTCATTCCTTGGAACAGTCTGGGATGGTCTGGCCCGAGGTCCACAAGTCCTTTTTATGTCCTTGTTGCTTTTGTATCCTTATTGTATATACATTATTGAATAGTTATATATTACAATCATTGTAACTGTATTGTATTTTATATTCACATGTATTCACTGGGCAAACAGGCAGGCGAAAACGACCTAAAAAACGCGACTCCGTGGAACCGACCCACCGAACCTGTCGGCGGAGAGATGTGATAGCCATGCTCCGCAATCAGCGTGAAGCTGTTGAGGCCTCGGCTCCAAAACACCCTCAGCTCAGGCGAAACATGGCATTTAGGGCATTTACTAGTGACTTACTAGGCCAAGTAGATGGCTCAACTCAATATTCCAGGGCCACTTACTTTCCAAAGAGAGTACTAAGGTATACTAAGGTACTGAAATACCACCGAACGCCGGTTTCGACCGTCGGCCACACGGACACCGGTCTCCCCTGCTTTGCGCCTCCGGAACCTTCCCCGGAAAGCGGGTGTGGGTTCGGTCCGGCGGACGTCGGGAGCGGCTGGGAGACTGGCGTTGGACGGGACCAAACACACACACACACACCTACCTGCACCCTCCAACAGGTCACCATCTGCGACTTTTAAGTCAGCAAAAGCCTCCAAAGGAGACCTGTTGGAGGGTGCTGGTATAGGGATCCAGTTCCGGTGCCGAAGCGACCCGGTTCGGTACGAAAACGGACGGACCCGACGTTTTGGCATCGTCTCATCACAGTGTCGAACACATCACCTGCTGAGAAGGTACGACTGGATCCCTATAGGGACACAAAAGAACAGAGCACTGTGGACCCTGGTCGGTTGACCAGTGTCTAGAGGTGTCTATTCTGTTCATGCTCGGTGGGAAAAACAACATCGGAAAAGCCCAGTCTTTTCTCCGCAAAATAAGTCACCCACACATTCCAAAAACATGTTTCGTGTCGTTTCGCAAAGCACTAAGTAAAGCAAGCCTTTAGGCCATCTGTAAAGCAAGGCACTTCCGAAGTGAGTTTCCAAAAAACTGGAATCGCGGCCGCTGATGATATGGGACCTGCCATTTTCCATCGATCCGAACGGCAAAAACAAAGTTCCGTTCAGCTGCCACGCTTTCGCACGAGACTCTGCCAGTTCCAGTTCGGGCAGTGACATTGTTTGACCGAAGCCTCTCCGAAAAATCATCTTAGAAATCACATGACTCCTATAGCCTATAACATCCTATAACGTTCTTTTTGAACTGGAGAGCTCATGACAATCAGCATTCCAACCAAAACGCTCAGAGCCTTTCCAAACATAGCTCAGCCCCGGCACCTGATGTCAGGTCGATCATTCAACGCCTGGGCTCGGTCCGCGTCGCCGCGTCCGCGACCGGTCGATGGGTCGGTCGACGTGCCGAGGGGCCGCAAGAAGACTCAGGAGCTCGTCTGTTGGAACCTGAGAGATCTGCAGTCGGTCGTCGAACGGAGCGAGTAACTGTCAGATCGATCGAGGTGTCTGTTCACAGGCTTTTCATGCAAACTGGCGGCTCAAAGGTGTACTAAAGAGGGTGGATATATCCATGTCTGACAATTACGACTTTCATGCGTTTCTGCATGGAAACGGACCTTTCACGGTGCCGGGATGTGCCAGGTGGTTCCGTTTCTTTTTCGCCAGGCAACAGCGAGTTCTGGCCTCGTTTCAAACTCCCGCAGGGTGCCATCCTGGGCGCGTCGCGAGCGCGGCGGACGTCGGCGGTCGAGGAGACCTGGGAAGTGACGGTCGACGAATGTTTGAAGGTTGGTGGCCCGATGGGGCCCGATTTTTGGAACATCCTTTAACTTCAGTGCAAAAACGAAGTCAATCTGGAAAGTTCAATGTCCTGAGATGGTGTTTGGGCTATTTGGAGGCTCAATTAGCGATCATATCAAACCACTTTTCACCATGCCACGGTCGACACACAGACTTGTGTTCATGTAAGCGCACGTCTGCACGAGCACGGCTTGCGAATCTTCCCGTGTGCTGGGCAACCCGGGCGTAATCTAGGAAGAGAGCCTTCGGCCTCATTTTTGCACGAAAACCCACATTCTAGATAGAGCATTCTTTCGGCCGCCATCTAGATCGGTGCAGCATGGACAGGGGTGCATCATCGAATGGGTAGATCCTCCAAAAACCTGAGAAGAGCAGAAACAAACGAGGCCAACTGGGATGCCAACATCCAAGCCTCGTTGGCCTCAGTGGCCTTCCTTGGAGGCTCCTCCCCTTCTCAAACGCATACCATTACACACCCATCTCATTCACATTGATTCACTCCAACATCATGGATAGCCGGGTCTACCGTTGACCCCGGCCCGGCCCGACCCGGCCCGTGCGAACTCCCTTCCCCGGCACAGCCATCAGGAGGCCAGCTGACGCAGTGGGCAAAGGAAGAATCTATGCATCAAAATGTATCCACAAACATGTTAGAGGCGGGATCGGCAAAGTGTTTTTAGTCTGTGCGAATAAACCCCTTTCTACTGTTGTCGGTCTGCGGAGCTGTATTGGGGATTTAGTTTGATTAAACCCTTTTTGGTCGATTGATATTCATACCCTTGGGTTTGGGGTTTGGATCAGTATGTAAACCCTTTGTGATCGAGAGAGGGCCCTTAGTCGACCAAAAAGGGTTTAATCAAAACTAAACCCCAAGTACAGCTCCGTAGACCGACAATTTTAGAAAAGGGTTTATTCGCACAGACTAAAAAACCTGCCGATCCATCCTCTATGATGTGATTGTGGGCACATCTTGATGCATAGATTCTTCCTTTGCCCACTGCGTCAGGTGGTCTCCTTACGGTGGTGTACCCGGCAACCGATTTGAGGTGTGGTTTGGTGGATTCTACAAAGGGCCTATACAAATGGAAGGACCGCAGTGGACCGGCCCGGACCGCCGGGACCGACCCGCAGTGGCCCGGCCCGCGGTGGCCCGGCCCGCGGTGGCCCGGCCCGCCCGGACCGGCCATGAACATGGCATCATTGCCATGCCTGCTTCTCCCGTAACGGGAAGCCATGCTTCTCCAACCCTCCGTGTCCGGCTCGGAGTGTGTAACTCCTCCGTCCCTTCGGCTCGGTGGTTTGATGAACCTGTCAGGGTCCCCAGGAAGTCAGTCATCCCATTTTCAGGTCTCAGGAGATCCAGGTCCCATTGATATCCCTTATAAAACAGCAGTTCGCAGGAAGCCGGGTTTGACAAATAAACACATCTTCTTGAGGGAGAGCTTAGGGATTCATCTTCCAAGTTTGGAGTCATATCCAGTTCGGGAACATCAGAACCATCCACCCGGTGGCAAATCCAGAACCTGCCTTTGTCGTACCCCTCGGCGCCCGGGCAAATCGCGGTCTACGAGCGGCCAAAACTGCTGAAGAGCCTCGTCTGAGTCTAGCCTAGGCGACGAGGTTCCGGGTCACTTGGATCACACCAGGACCATCCTGTCTGGGTGTCCAGGCTCCAGGCTGGACAACCTTGCGCTGCCACGCTACTATCCGGGATCTCCAAACCGGACACCCAAACAGGATGGTCCAGGTATTGAAAACGATTATACTGCAGTATAGTGCAGTATGCATGCATATATCATGACATTTCCCTCCAAATGTGCGAAGACCAGGACCGGATTGACGTTAGAGGATTGACCGGTGAAAAAAAGGGCGGTGCTTCCCCACGTTGACCGGTCTTCCCAAAGCATCGCATTGTTGCCCTCTGGAGAACGGTCAACGACGGTCGTTACCGCTTTGATTCACCCCTCAACGATGGGACTGCCATATATGTAGATCAGTTGAGGTGGTGGTGCCAGAGGGGTTAATTGTGATCGGCATATAGTCCAGTCCCATGGAGTGGATGGGAATTGGATGGAACTCCCGTTTTTTTGCCACTATGTGGATCTAGGATCTGAAGAAAGCCGGACCAACCATTGGTTTCTGGATGTGGCTGTTTCACATTGGGGCTCAAAACCGGTGGTTTTTCCGCATCGTCTTCCTCCACGCCCCCGTCTCAAAAGGCCCCGGGCATTGACAGTGGCTGTGTGGTCAAGCGCAAGAGATCTTCGGACGAATCCACCTAACGGTCGGCAGCCGCCCGGGAACGGGATGTTCCCCTCCACAGCCAGCTCACCCAATGCGCAGTGGTTCTCCCGAAACCGACGATATACGATATAGGCCCTGTCATGGAATAGAAGTTCGTAGATCCCCACGTAGAAAATCGTAGAAAATGTATTGGAAACCATGCCACTATCTGTTTGGGGACGACTAAAAATATGACTGACGCATCTGACGCATATGACTGCCATAGCTGGGGTGCCATAGGTAGCTCAGTCTTTTTTCCAAGCGCCTGTTTCGTTTGACTTTGCCACATCTCTGGCCTTCATGGGGGAAAGCTCCACTCCTCCTTCGAAAAACTCCTCCCGGCGGTCGCGGGTGTACTCGCGGGGCGGCCGTGGGCGCAGGCTGCGTAGGCGTAAAGAAGATCAAAAACGTCGCATCGCCCAACGTGTTTGCCAAGGATCTGGCTGTGGGTCAGGGCCCAGTCAGTCTATTAAGCTGTTCATGGTTCGGTGGTTCCAGGTCTCCCCGGTGCCATGACCCAGTCCGCCGCAGCCGCCAGTCCGCCGCCATGTCTCCCGATCTTCACGTTCGGATCCCAAAGGACTTGTTCGTTTCAACCCGAAACACAAACTTGATGGTGCAAATGTGTAGGTTTGGGAGGTTGCGAGAAAAACACCGATTCTTGCTTAAGCTTGGGCCGGCGCCCAGGCCGGCCAACTTCTTCAGGCCTTCTTATGTTGGATTTCTTTTGGAAAACAGATGCATAGTGAGGCCGACCAAAGCTGCACCTCTGCATCTGTTGGCAATGAAGACCTGCCCAAACCGCCCGCGAAGCTAGCTCTACGTTCCGGAACTCTGAACTCAATTGCTCAACCCCATACACTCCATGTATGGAATATATGCCTACATTGACCCCTCTGGCACCACCCCAATGTAGACATATATGGCAGTCCCATGGAGCGTCAACTAGACTCAGTCGACTCTGGTCGGTACAACCATGTACAACCCATTATGGCATGTTCCGCTCCGTGTTGGCCAGTCACACGATGGTCCGAGGCGCCGGCATCACAGGCGGAGAGTTTAGCGTGGTCGCTTGCGACAGAACTGTGATGGTACTGCTGGTGCTTGTCCCCGAACCTGGGCGTTCACCGTGTTAGGAAACAGTTGTGACAGCCTCAGCCTTGTGGGTCAGCCACGTGTCACGTGTCTTGAGGAAAAAAACACTCTAAGATACTCTAAGACACCAGCAATTGCCTGGAGAATGCATTGGTGTTGCCTGGCGGTCTTGCACAGCTACAGCAGCTGTGCGGTCTATCCGACTTGCACTTCTTGTTCGAGGTCTTGAACAATGTCCGTGAAGATAGTCAAGGACAAGCAAACTTCAGACTCCTTGGGACTGGAATATATGCATCCCTAAGAATCAAGGACCCTCAAAGGTGAAGGTTTTGAGGGTCCAAACCCCTGCTCTGCAGGGTCAAGACCCTCCATAGGAGGGTCCAATGATCCTTAGGGATATATATATATATATATACCAGCACCTTCATGTCGGGGTCACCTGGCTGCAAGCCCCAGCCCACCACTAAGGGACCTCCATTGGACACCCCTTGGCTCCGGGCCGTCCGCACTGGCCGCACAGGCTTGAGAAATGAACAGCTGAACCCTAGAAGTCCAAAGACTATACTTTGACCGACTGAAGTAAAGGACATTCCTTGACTCGTGTCACCGTCCAAGACCATTCTTTTTATAGTCTTTGTTTGAATCGCAGGGTATATATATATATACATTGACCATCATTGACCCGGGTCAACCATCCCAACTGATCGGAAAATATTGCAGCCCCACATCTAATTTCTTTGAGCCACGCCCACATTGGTGCCTCACTGCTCTGCAGCTGTGCAGGACAGCAAGCACTTAAGCCTTGGCTTCGATGCTTCGGCTAAGCTGCGACGCGGATGTCGTTCCTCATGACTCACTCGCCGCACGATGTCGTCAGCTGGGCTCAGTGTCCCACTGTCTTTGGCATCACTGTCTTTGCTATTTGAAATCCGCTGTGAACTGCAACATCCTCCAGCAAAGCGGGTTCCGCTTTGCAAAACAAAAAGCAAAGGCTACTTCTCCTTCACACCAGTCCCTCTCGCTCTTTTCCCCCTTTTTTCACTGTTGGGCAGTATAGATCAGTATAGGCAGGAACTAGACCAGGTTTTGCCAAGTGTTGGTCCTTTGACCATTTCCCCAAAGAAAGAAAGAGCGAGAGAGAGAGCTGGTTCGCTGTGAGCTTCGCTGCCATCCGCTCCTGCACACGGCATAGACCTTGAGCGACGTACTGATTCAAACCTGGACGTCGAAGCGGCGAAAGATTGGAGAGTCCTTCGTTTGACTGCCAAGTGTCAAACGAAAAGATGAACACATGCCCAATGCTCAAGCATGCTAAAGCCATTCTGCCGCAAAGCTGTGACGTGGGACCCGGCCTTTGTTCTAATCTACAGCCATCACTGCTGCACGGTCGAGCTCCAGATGGGCTCTTCCTACACCTGCCAACGAATCTGCTCCAAAGTCTTTGCGCAAAACGTGCTACCGTGCGCTGACTGCATGTTTTTCATTACTTGCATGTGACCGTGCGATATGAAACGTCCCCAAAAGGGCTAGCGATTCAAATGGCTAGAGCCACACTACAAGCAATATCAAATCCGGCAACATGCTGCTTGGGATGAACTTCTCCGCCAAGGTTACAAACTGTTGCAAATATAACATATCATATTTACACACATTGAGGCTAGCCTGCAACATTTGGGAAAATCATGGAACATCCTGCGCTCATAGACCCAGCCAGGTGTTTTGGAGTTCTTCCTTTTTTTGAATTCTACTTGCAGTCACAACTAATTATGTATACCCTGGGAGTCCAAGACCATTTTTAAAACGGTCTTTAGGTGATCCGAAAAGGAACTTCCTTTACTTGGGTGGTGCCTAAAATAGTCTTTGGACTTCTAGGGTATATAGAACTACGGTTTGAGTATAACAATATTCCTACCTGCAACCTGAAACGACCACTTTTTTTTGGTTGTTTCTTCAAACGACCGTATATTTTTCAAACGACCATAAAAAATGGTCTTTTCTTAAACGACCGTATTTTTGTCAATTATGATGAAGTTCAAATATTACATCATGCACAATGCATATCAAGCAGTTGATTTGTGAAATCGTATACGATCGTATACGACCGTATATTTCTGGAAACGACCGTATATTTTTCGAACCACGACCGTATTTTGTTGAAACGACCGTATATTCTTCGAACCACGACCGTATACAGGCCGTATGCAAACCGTATAAAAACGTATACGACCAATGTTTTCATGTGTAAAATGACTGCAAGATAAAACGACCGTATCTTTTTGAAACGACCAAAAAAAATGGTTGTTTTCAAAACGACCAAAAAAAAGTGGTCGTTCCAGGTCCCAGGTATATACTATAACGACTTTGAGTCATGTGTAATTATATTAGCAGGATATAGCAACATCTCCACCTCTCGCGACATCAACATCATCCCAACCTCTCGCGTCGTCCGGCCTCTCTGTCGAGGTATCTGAACGTCCACCAGAGCGTCCGCGTCTGGCCTCATCGGACGAGACCGTTCTGCACGGGCCGTTGGTTCCAAAAAGCAGTTCGGTGCCCGGCAGTTCGGTGTGCTACGGGAGCTGCTTGCATGCTGCCCACATGTGAGTGTGTGTGTTGCGTGTTGGACAAAATAGGTGACAAAAAAGTTCATGAACTTGACAACCAATTCTGCCGCATCGAATAGAATGCCATGAACATGCGAATGCCCCTTTAAAGAGATGCATACTCTCCATGGACTGGTCAGCATGCTTCCAGCGGTGAAACTTACTTTGAGCCCAGGTTTATCGATGGGTGGAACATGGGCGAAGCACCGTGTGGTTTTCAAAAAGGAATCACCCTAAGAATCCGGACCCTCAAACACATAGGGTTTTGAGGGCGGGCAATCATAAAAAATATCAACAGAAAACATGCAAGCACCTAACAGCGATCAAAGTCGGTCCATCGCCCAAGTCTGGGGATTGTGCCATACTCTTTGTGCCCACGGTAAAAGCAACGGCACGAAGCACTCAATCTTCCAAGCGAAATCGAACCAGCTGCGCTTTAGCAGCCAGTTGCAGCTGCGACCGCTGCCTGAGGTCTGCCACGGTCGTTCTGATGAGCCCTCGGTCACTTGGATCCTGTAAAGCTTGCAGACCATTTTTCCCAGGTGCTGGTCACAGCTGACCTCAGTGTACCAAGTGTCTGCAGGGACTTATATAGACTAAGTCGATCCTTCAGGTCGGGGCATGATGTCAGAGCTATCGCCTTTCTCTTTGATTGCTTTCACCTCAAGTATAGGTATCTATCACCTCTGTCATGCAATCATGCAATGTCATTATATTTTGGCGCCACGCGTTTTCCATGACACTAAAGGAAGGCTGAGTTCTTGCACCAACACACAGAATTCCTCGAAGCTTATGGCATCATTGCCATCGTGATCCACTGCACTGAAGAGCGCAGCGATTTGCTCGTCCTTGATATCCTGGGACAAGGACGCCAGAATACGCCAGAAACCCCAGAAGCTCAAGGGAACGAGCGTTGCGACATGACCTGCACATATTCTGCAGTTGACATGTTTCCCAGGTAATACGTAGAGTCGAGCTAATCATCCGAAAATCTTGAGTTGACCAATGCAAGGAATGCAGGAGGTGCTTGCAACGTTGGTTTTTGTGTTTGAATAGGGACCGCTGGCCCGGTAGACTGGTAGACTGGTCTATTGAATCATATTGAATCTATTCCCTAGGGATCCAAATACCTTCTCAGAAGATACTTGGACCCTCCAAACCTACATAACAGTGTCTCCAATCACCGTACCTGAGGTTCGGTACGACGGGATCCCTAGGGACTCTATTTCTGTCGACTTTCCGAACCGAACCCCAGGGGGGGGTCGTTGCCACGCCTCAAAGACATCCTCCCTCTGGATCGCTCACACACCCACCCGCCGGATCGCGCGCACTCCAGGTGTCGAACCCAACCGGGCCCCGGACCGGCCCGGCCCCGCGTCAGGCGCTCCCCTCGGCGTTCCCTCGCCTCCCCCATGAGCTTCATGGCCTCTTTAAGCTCCGTCACATCAATCCTGGCGCCACACACGTCGCACACCGTGCGTCGGAATAGGTGTGGCGGCGCTGGGCTCCCCCCAGAGGCGGTGCCAGAGGGGGGAGCCAGACTGCACGGAAGGCTCTGGGAAGCCCGCAGATCGACCGTTCATCCTCACCCAACAACGACCTGGGAAGATTTGCCCTTCAGCTTCGAACCACTGAGTCTTCACGGAGAATCGGATGAATCATCGCGGGTCTCCCCGACCCGAGCTCGGCTCTCCCAGGCATCCCCGCCGTCCATTCTCGTCGGAATCAAAGAATTTGTAGGCTTTTTGCATTTGCTTTTCAGTCCTTGACCCAGCCCCCAGCAACGCCCAGTCCACAGCGAAGATCGCTGTGCAGGTGGCTTGAGCAGGTCACATGTCGCCGCTGTTTCAACCAGTGAGCAGGAACACATGTTGAAAAGATCTGCCAATTCGGCCATATCCCAGACACTCCGTATGTGATGTATGATATGTATTTGATTGACCCCCGGGTCAGGGCTCAAAGATTGCACTAGTTTTACTAGAGAAGGATTTGTGCCCCAAGCGTGGAAACCGACGTTTTCATTCCTTGCTGCGTTTGCCATTACGAAGTCACCGAACTGGCATCGTAGAGAACGGAAATCAAGGAGCAAAGCCAGGTCTGTTACTAAGAAACTGCGGACTGCCAAGATCCTCACTGGGAATCGGAGGGCTAGGTTGATACGAGCTGTCCATCTCCTGGAGTCCCATCATAGTCGACCAGCCTATCACCTACCGGTTTTGGGTACTACGATGCCATGGAAAAGAGATCAAGCCTGGCAATGGACGGATTCCCAATGGAAGGCAAGGCCCAATCGAAAGCAGGAAAAGGACCAGCAGACCAACAAAGGGAAACCAATCATGACTGGCTACGACGGAAAGCAAGTCTATGTTGGTGGTTCGCAGCAGCACTCTGCTGCATCTTCCTCGCAAGAGACTTCTCTGCGAGAAGAGAATCACCGTTTGAGAGAAGCGATCAAGTTTGTAGTGGGCAAGGTTGCTACAGAAGAAGAGATCCCAGATTTCCTGAAGGACATTACCAAGGAGAATCCTCGGGAGATTTTGAAACAGAAGCAAAAAGCACTGAACGAGGAAAGGAAGAACCTCAATCGCCTCGAAAAAGTGCGAGAACAGATAGCTGCCAAAGAGACCAAGTTCACGGAATGGAAGCATTCGGTCAAAGAGGGTGTACTGCAGGAAGAGAAGAGACACAGTACACAAGTAGCAGAGCTCCAAGCCAAGCTGAAAAGCATAGAGCAGGGAGAAGAAGATGCGGCCATTGTCGTGGACTCAGATGGAGAAGCCGATGTGAAAAAAGATGCTCGGTCCCGCCAGCTCGAACAAGAGCTTGGTACCATGAAGGAGCAAATGCAACAGATGATATCGTATACGGCCCATATGGAGGCAAAGAACAACATGATGCTCGAGCAAATTCAGATGCAGATGAGCACTCTGATTGGGGGTATGGCTGGAGCAACTTTGGCAGAAGGGATGAAGCCCAACTCTCCGGAGCAACATGTCCATCACCGAAGAGTCATGGATGTAATCGATACCTCCAAGAGGGATGCAGCTCCCCGTTCACGGTCCCCAGCCAAGAGAGCCAAGGTGAATCAGGTGACTCTTTCGTCTCCACGTGCAAATCCCAAGTTGGACTACAGTCCAACCAAGCTCAAGGGCGTGTTGGCAGACTTGCCCGAAGAGGTACAAAGCAAAGCATTGGGCATTATGAACTCGGACCCACACAAGTATGCCACATTTGTGGCTGTGGACGAATTGATTCAGACTCTCCTGCAAGTGTGGAATTTGGAACAGGCCCCAACGATTCGTACAGAAGAGGGACTTCCAGACCACCTAACAGAAGTAGGGATGACGGATTCATCAGTGGGAATGGCAGCAGCAGTGACACCACTACCCATTGCTGTCTCAACAGAGCACGACGGCAAGAGAGATGCGCTCCGCCCTTTTGGGCGGTTCAAGCCGAACAAAGAAGGACCTGCAGGCCCCTATACTTCTCCGGGGGGGGAAGAGTACTCCGGGCAACAGCAGGAAGGGGGTCAAGCTGGAAGATTTGGATTCCTGATGTCTTTGATTTCAGGAGCCTGTGGCTGGTTTGATCCGAGTGAGCATCCATGTGCACGATATTTGATCTGTATTTCTTGGGGTGAAGTCAGAGATGTCCTTTCGTGCTTTGGATACTTTCAGACCGTTTTCTATCATAGGGGGATTTTCATCTTGGGAGATTTTTGGGAACTCTTTTTTGGGAATGAAGAGACGCACTATCTCTCTGTTTCAAGCAGCACTGTAGGCTCTAGTTTGGAGCCTAGTTTTGACCTAGTTAGTGCTGCTTTTGACCGCCTTTTGATGTACCCGTTTTCGTGGATCCAGCATTCTGATGGATATGCTTTGCAGCTTTGTGATGAGCTTGTTGGACGAGCTCTTCATTACCTTCCTGACCTGGGGTATGTTTTCTACCTATCCCTGGTCCTGCCGCTTTCTGTCTTGCTGGCTTTTTTCCTTCAGGAGTTTGTCGAGGTTATACATAATTTGCGCTGCCATTTTGGCAACCGCAGACTTCGCTTTTGGCCCTCACATCATGTCCTTCAAGATGTTGGATGGTTAGCTTTCGGATGTTGGAATTTTATTGCCTTCTTCCTTGAGATGGCTGACCCGGAAATTGCTGAAAGCGACTATGCAGGAGGTGTGCATATCCTTCTTGCTATGTGCCGAGCCCTCTTTTGCTGCTGGTTTTTCGTATTGACTGCGAGATTTCTGCGGAATAGAGAAGAGCTTGCACCGGTGTTCCCTTCGCAATGTCGAAAGGTCCAAAGCAGAAGATGCCCCTGTTACAGGAGGCGATACAGTGTTAGATGGGTCTATGTGTGGCTGCTTGTTGTAGTTGTCTCTGCTGAGGTAACCACTGCACCAGCTCCTTTGTTTGCCACTGATCCACAAGAAAAGGCTAGCTATGCCTTCAAGATGAAGAACAGTCTCTCTTTGTCTTGTGGAGACTCTCTTCCTCCTGGTGTTCACTCACCGATAGAAGACTTTCGGGACTATGGGATACAAGAGCAATTTTGTGCGGAAACTGACAGACAAGCTGCCAGTCCGTGTATGCATACAATATGCCACTGCAGACAGTTTACCATGGTCTCTGCTCCGACAGGCTACCAGACCTGTTGTAGAGCTGTGCATTTTTGTTCCCTACATTTTGAGGCGCAACCATTGCCTGTTAGTAGGTCCTCCGAAAGTGATTACAACCAGTTGATGCAGCTTGCGTACAGCACTTCAGTCCCATGTGGCTCGACACAGAGAGTAAGCCAGTATACGGCCGAACCTTTCTGCCCTTTCCAAGATGAAGATGCCTGCGTCCAAAGCTGGCTGGCCACTAGTGTCTGTTCGCAGCGAACTCAGCGAGCAAGGATTGTGCGCGGCAATTTTGGAAACCTGCATGAGGTTTTGACTGCACTATGGCCTGATGTTTGCAATCTTGCAGACTGTGGATATACTGTGCTTCGACCTCAGTCCTGGGTCCTGTCTGCTGAGCCTTCCTGCCTACAAGTGTTGGTTTATCCCCGAATGATTTCTCACCGTGTGCCAGTTTTGATCTTGATACATGACTCTGGCCCACATGTAGGAGAAATCTACCACAGATGGGCCTGCCTTTTGCGGTTTGGACCCCCCTTTTCGCAACTCAAGAAGTTGGGTCTTGTGCGCACTGACCAACACATTGATGAATATCCACAGAATTTTAATGATTTGACCCCGAGACCTGGAAGTGTCTTACGGATTTGTTCGCACAATTGTGCACTTCTGTTGGGGCAACGGCCAGTTTCGGATGACCTTGAAAGAAGAAAAGATGGTCTCATGTTCGATGACGACCCTGAAGAAAAAACCTCTCTTATGCAGGTTGAACAACCAATCGAAGATGCTATGGCTAGGTACATACGCCAAATCACCGGCGGCCTTCAGAATCAGAGGGCTACAGTATGGCTGCATCTTGATGAGCAACTAGGCAGCCTCGGCAGGTCCTCTCGAGATTTAGTCTTGACTGCTGCCATTGCTTGTGGGCCGCAAATTCGGGCAATTTGGGGCGATGTGGCTGGTCCTGAACCATGTTTTCTTTTTCCAGTCAGACCTGCCCCTTTTGTTGCCGATGGTAGACAGCCACACTTCATCATGACAATGACCCGAGATGAGCATTTCTTTCCTATGCTTTTGGATTATTGGTCGGACTCAGAGCGATTTCGAGCAACATTCATCTTTGTGTTTGCTGGTTTTCCACAAGTGGCAGATTTCTTCCAACAAGCTGTCCCTGAGAATGCATGCGGCTGGCTGCATGAATGTTCTTTGGCAGTATATGACCCTGGAGGCATGGTTGTCTACCAATGGAGAGATCGGGTGCCGGTTTATGAAGGCATGTTCATCACATTGAGGGAAGATGAAATTCCTTCAGAATCGGAGTTGACCACCTGCGATGGCTCTTCCTCAGGGAGATCAGAAGTCGAAGAGTCAAGTGACGATGCTGGGAGCAACTCCACTGACAGACTTTTTGACTCCTCTCCGGATGAATCATCGCTGCTTTTGTCACGTAGTGTTGTTTACAAACCTCCTGAGGCTGCATATGAGGACTGGACTGGTGGACAACTTTACAGCCCTACTGAGGGAGACAACACTGCAACTCCCAAGGGCTGCTTGAAGTTTCCGGCCATAAGTCCCCCTCCGATGGGTCTTTGAGCGTTGTTTCGGACAGTGCCCAACCTATACTCTTAGAAGATACAGTGGAGGTTTGGGCCTATGAGACTCGCAGACCCTTTAAGGGAGACAACACTGCAACTCCCCATGAGCTTTCTGCTGACTGTGCTGCCCACGAGCTATTGGCTGATGAGTGCTTGATGCTATATTCATGCAATGTTTACCCCATGGTGCTTGAGGACGCAGCTACTGACTGGTTTGTTCAAACCAGCAGGCTCACTATGAGAGCTAACATTGCAATGCTTCAAGAGCCGCCCACAGATTTTGTTGGCCATGAGGACTGTTTTGACGGGTCTTTGAGCTTCTGGTCCACACTCTCAGAGGATGCAGTGGAGGATTGGGCTGATGTGGCTAACAGACTTTCTATGGGAGGTAACACTGCAACTCCCCATGATTTTTCTGCTGATTGTGCTGACCATGGTGAGCGCTTGATGCGATATACGTGCAATGGCTTCCTCAAGGTGCCCGAGGATGCATTTGTCGACTGGGTTGATACAGCCAGCAGGCTCACCAGGGGTGACAACACTGCAACTCCCC